TACCAGCAGCGCCCCCTCCCCCCCGCGGCCGCCTCGGCAGCATCCCTTCTGCCCCGCTGTAGGACTGGGAAGCCGGCGATGGGGGCAACCAGGGAACAGGACTTCAAAAAATCTTCTGTCGGATAGTGAGATGATGCGAAACTCCCAGGGGATGCTCTGCTCCAGGCTCGGAGGGATCCCACGACCGCGCAGCTCTGGGGCCGGGGGCACCACAGCCCTTCCAGCCGTCTTCAAGAGGAATCGGCCACAGCACGTTGCCAGCCCGCGGCCTGGAGGAAGCACCGCGCTGCTCTCACACCTCCTTAACCTTCCTCCAGGACCAAGGAGCTGCCTCCGGCGCGGGCTGCGCATCCCCTTCTCCCACTTCGGCTGCCGTAGTGCCTCAGGAAGGACCCTGCCCACACGCACATGCCCCCCACCTCGTTGCAGCCAGCACCCCCACCAAAATCTCCTTTCACTAACGAGCACAGCCCACCCGCACCCGTCCCTTGACCACAGCTGCACCGGCACATCCCTCCTCCCCGGACCTGCGCAGCCGTGGCGAGCCCAGCGTTCCCCGCTGGGATGGGCAAGGACTCGGTGTCCCTCTTCTCCAGCTGCCAGGCAGGCAACTGGATTTAAGAATTAACAGAAATTTCCAAGCCACAGTCTGACACAAGGAATCCAGGGGGAAATAGGTTGTGTTTGCCCCACAACCCCACGTGCTCTCACTTGCTCGCTGCGACCATCCCTCCCGGGACCCCTGGCTGCCTTATATCCTCCCGTGCCCTTATGTCAATGGGATCCCATCAATAGGAGCTGGTTAAAAAAACCCCAAACCAACGACTTTCATTTTGTTTTCTACCCCAGCTCTTAAAATTTCCTCCTGCCGCCAGCGAGCGGGTAACAAGGTTCTGCTACTGTCCTCCCGCAGCTCGGCATGGGCCGGGAGGGAGTCAGCCAGCATCCAGCTTGCCAGAGTGGAGGTCCCCAGCCGGGACCACTTTTTGCTAGTGCAATGGTGGTTTTTCTGCAATATGGTTGCTGACCCGCTAGCGAGCTGGGCGCCAGCCCAGGAAGCCCCATCCCAGGGTTGCAGGGGGGTCTTGCACGATCCCAGGCCGCGAATTCGGCCAAGGGCTCAAAGCTGCAAAGCACAAGCAGCAAAATTGAGCACCCCTCACCCCTCTCCAGCCAGCCTGCAAAGGTGACACACGGAAACCAGTCTGTGCCTTCTGCACCTGCCCCCGAGCACCCCCCAACACGCCGCCCCGGCGCATCCCGGCCGGTCCCGGTGCTGCCACACAGCACAAGCCAATCCTTTGCCGTGGTCCGCTGGAGAAAAGCCAACCTCAAATCCCAGTTCCAGCCCCGTGGCTGTAGGTCAGGGCCACGTCCCGTCAGCCAGCCTTTGCCCAGACCTGCTGAAGGATGTTTGGGAGAGCTGAAAGACCAGGGACGAAG